CAAGGCTGCAAGCAACCACTATTAAGTTGGGAGTTACTAGAAAAAAAAAAGAACAGAGTTATAGAGCAAGGAAACGGTTGACAGAAGACTTGAAAAGTTGAAGGTTGTATGAGTCAGGAAAACATGAAGATGGGAGAGAGTTCCAAAGGATTGAAGTGGGGGGAAAAAAACTAGATGAATAAAAGTTTTTAGAGCATGCAGGGACAGATACAGTAAACAAATGAGACTTAGCTGAATGACGAGTAAAATGAGAATGAATTTTAGTTGATGGAACTAGAGATGATAACTCCTTTGAGCAGTGACCATGATAGTATCTGTAGAAAAGAGAAAGAGATGCAACTTTACGACGATGGGAAAGAGGTTCAAGCTTAGCAGATAGTCCAGGTCCAACAACATTTACAATGCATTTTTGGACCTTGTCAAGAAGAGAAAGTGAATCGTTAGAAGAACCAGCCCAAATATGACAACAGTATTCCATACAGGGACGAGTAAGAGATTTGTAGAGGTAGAGAATGGAATCAGAAGTAAGGAAATGGCGAGCACGATAAAGAGAAGCAACCTTAGCAGAAGCTAATTTAGCAATCGATTGTATATATGGTTTCCATGAAAGGTCAGTAGTAAGCGATAATCCAAGAAGACGTAAAGAGGACGACTGAGTAAGAGGGTTGCCATTCATTAATATAGGAATGTTGACCATATTACGGTAGTTGTTTGCAGTAAGCAATTGGATTTTTTTAGAGTTGAAATTCACAAGCCACTGTGAACCCTAATCTATTACTGAAGTGAGATCAGATTCAAGTTCAGCTGCTTGTTCTAGGCGATCGAAAAGAGAAGACTTTTTGTCAAGACAGGAGTATAAAGTTGAGTCATCAGCAAAAAGAGCTACTTTAGATGAAAGGTTGTCAGGAAGATTGTTTATGTAGATAAAAAACAAAACAGGGCCCAGGATGGAACCTTGGGGAACCCCAGAAGTTACTGGAAATAAAGAAGAGTGTTGGCCTTCAAGGATGACTTTAATAAACCGGTCAGAAAGAAATGATTTGATAATCTCAAAAACTTTCCCAGAAACACCATATGAAGCATGTTTATGGAGAAGACCAGCATGCCAAACTTTGTCGAAAGCTTTAGATATGTCGAGAGCAATAGCCCTAGCCTCACCGCCTCCATCTAATGCACGATAAAATCTTTCAGTTACAGCAGTTAGCAAGTCGGCCGTAGAGCGAGAGGATCGAAAACCGTATTGATTGTCTGACAGCAGTTTATTTGACTCAAGATAAGATGTGAGGAATTTGTTGATCAAATACTCAAAGACCTTGCTAATATCAGAAAGAAGACTGATCGGACGATAACTGGAGGGGTCAGAATTTTCTCCAGAGTTTTTGAATATTGGAACCACAGATGCCATTTTCCAACAAGCAGGAAAACAAGACTCAGTCAAACACTTGTTAAATAGTTTAGAGAGAATTGAAGAAAGTTCTGGAGAACAATTCTGCAAGACTGTGACAGGAATGTTGTCTGGACCACAAGCTGTAGACGAGTTTAATTGAGATATGACTTTAGCAACAGAAGCGGGAGTGTCAACCTGTTTGACTGGAATGGAAGGAAGAGAATGTCCATAAGATTCAAGAGTGGAATTAGAAGAAAAGTTCTTTGCAAACAGTTCTGCCTTATCCCTGGGAGAGGTAACAAGATCAGTCCCATGAACGAAAGATGGAATGTTAGATCTACCCTTGTTAACAATGCTGTTGAAGATTTTCCAAAAGTCTTTAGAGCCTAACTTCTGCGATAAGATGCGAGATTTAGTGAACTGAGAATAATGGAGTTTAGCATCAGAAAGCACCTTTTTACATCGATTTCTTGCAATAATAAATAGCCGTTTGTTCTCAAGAGAGTTGTTCTTTTGAAAAAGATGAAAAAAATGGTTACGATTTTAATCAGTTTACATGAATTATTCAGAACAGACTTGATATCATCTCTAAATGTTCTGTTGCTGCTTCCATGAGCAGTTTTCTCTATGAAATTATTAAAAATGTCATTGCGATTCAATCTCTTAACATAAACCATGTCATTATAATCAGAATCTGAATCCTTATCTTCTTCAGAAGTAAGATTGAAAAAAAGTTCTTCGGAATTGTTTGCATTATCATATTAATTGACATCTTCTCTATTGGATTCATCGCTTGAACATGTTTGGTTCGCTGGTATGTAAATTTTTGTAGAAAAAATCCGTTACAGCCAGATAAATACCGTGATTTTGACACAGTTGACTCTCTGACTGGAAATATCCATCCATATTTTTGCATAGCTGCAGTACCATCGTGAGACGATGCAAATTCTATCATTTATTGTTTAACTAATTCTTCAGTTGTGAAAGCATCACAGGAACTATCAATTTTAACAACACTCAATTTATAAGCAACTTTATTGTGAAGAGCTACATTATAACAGCTACAAGAGCTATAAGAGCTACATTATAAGAGCAAGCCTTCCCAGGAAAGGCGTGCAGTTTTTTTTTTCTCGTACAACCACGAAAACGTTTTTCAAGTTAGAGAATGTGATCACGGCTATTTGCGCAAGTTATATTATATGTGTTACTGTAAAACTGTTTTGAATTTAATAACTACATAAGAAATTAAAGTAAACTTAAATAGAAAACAATAATAATAGTTTAAACAATTTGTGTGTTGTTTTTATTTTTGTTTTTTCTTAGTGGTTATTATTATCGGCAACAAATTTCATACTACTTACTTTATTTACAAGAAGCAAATTATTAAAAGTTTGCTAGCGAGAAAGTTACAAAAAACAAAACAAAAACAATAAACTTACGACTACAAAAGTAATAACACTTTAGTCACTAACTGCATTATAAAAGTAATAAAACTATAATAGTGTTATTACATTTATAAAGCACTTTTACTTTTAAAATTCATTCTTTGTTCAAACAACGTTATTAATTCCAAACATTTATTAAAGTAGAAAAGCATCTAGAAAAAATAAAGCGGATATTCAAATATTATTAAAAATTTCAGGAACTTTCACATATCGCTTAAACAACGTTACTTTATAAAAAGTATAGCATTATGAAAAACGTTACGTAAAAACGCGCGTTAATTTTAAAATCAACCAATAAAGAACTTTTATTGGTTAATTTTAAAATTAATACGCATTTTTACGGTCCAGTAGTAACGTTTTTCATAATGCTAAACTTTTAATACGATACGTTTTCATAAAGTTGTTTGTCACGTTTTTATAAGTTACTTTAGTTTTAATATTATTTGAACATTCACTTTATTCTTCTAGATATTTTTCTACTTCAATTAAAATTTGGGAATACTAATGTTGCTTGAACAAAGATTGAATTTTAAAAGTTATAAGTGCGTCATAAAAGTAATAACACTATTATAGTGTTATTACTTTTGTAATGCTTAATTCAACCCTTGTTGTTACATTAAAATTATACAAATAAATTTTACAAACACATTGTAATTTGTATTTTTGCTATCCTCTTAAAAAAAATTAAGAAAAGGAAAATCATTTTTTTTATTGTAGACTTTAAACTGTTTTTTTTTTGCTTTACCTTATTTAATTTTGTTGCTGAATGTAACTCTAAAGAAACAAATATAAAAACAGTACACAAATTATTTAAGTTGTTTTTATTTTTTTCTATTTCAATCTCTTTTTATTTTGTTAGTTTTGTTTTTGAAACTTTTTCAGCATTATTATAAAACTTGCAAACTGCCATGTTCACATTTTCTAAAATATTTTAATTGTGTGTGGTCATACGAGACAAAAAACCGCATGCCTTTCCTGGGAAGGCTTGATAAGAGCTACATTATTTATAAACCTTTAATGGAGATGACAGTCAATTCATCAACTTTTATGTTGAACTATTCACCACATTTTTTCAAAACAGAAATTTCATCATGTAGCTCTTGTTTTCTCGAAAACAAAAGCTGCGTGATCACAAAAACGACAACATTAGTTTTGCGACTGTGATTTGACTTTTTGGCATTTGGAAACCATGTTTCTGATTAAACTCATGTATTGCATCAGATTTTGTAATTGTTCTTAAAGACATGCCATCTTTTGCTGCACATTTTGGTAGCAATTCAGCCAAGGTTTCACGTTTAAAGAATCCATCAACTTTTATTTGTTTTTTCGGAACTTCTGCAACAAATATTTCATCTAACTTCTTATTTTTTAATATTGTACTATGGATAGTTCTCATGTGGGTAATCAGACCAGATGTGCTCAAACCTTTACATTTTATGAAAGAATTGCACAGGGTACATTTTGCTTCACTAGATGAATCGTATGACTTTGTAAAATACTTCCAGACAGGAGAGCTTTGTTTTGGCATGTTTTTTTTGTACTTGGCTTTTATTGGTTCAGTATATAAATTAAATAAAAAAAAACATAACGCAAATAAACTTATATTACTTATTTGTATATTATTTATTAATGTAAATAGATATATTAAATATTATAATTAAATATTATAATTTTTATAATGCTAAACTAACACTATAATAGCTGTTAACTTGAAAACTTTAGTTTAACACTACAGCTGTAATAAACCTTCAATCCTAAACTTCTTAATGCATAAATAATGTCCAAGGGAATTGTAATGTTGCAATCGTTAATACTTTTCAAAAAATAATTATACAAATTGATCAAATATCTATTTAACACAGAGGTTTCATCATAACGAGAAAGAAACGAGTATCGCTTAAAATTGTCGAACTCAGACACTTTTAGGTTGGCATTGTTGAATGCTGATCTTAATTCTAAAGGCTATATATATATATATATATATATATATATATATATATATATATATATATATATATATATATATATATATATATATATATATATATATATATATATATATATATATATATATATATATATATATATATATATATATATTGATTTCTGTGTAAATTTGTGTATTGCTAGGAAGATAGAAGGAAGATATACAAATAAAAATATCTTACCATTGATGAAGATATATGAATAAAAATTTTTGGTCCTCTTGTTTTATCTTCCATTGATAAGTATAAACCAAAAGCTTCATCAAATAGATTTATCGGAGAAAGTTGAGTATCCAGCTCAAAACTTTTGTATGGGTCAACTCTAAGAACAGCCTTTAAAGTATATCCAAGAATATTTACAGTTCCTTGTAGAGTTAATCCTTTTGCAACATTTATACCTAGCTGTTTAATTTCAACTAAAACAAAATTATCAAGAAATGTATTCTCTTAAAACCTTGTTAGTCATTATCTAAACTAAAATATTAAATCAACACTTTAAATTTTTTAATAAGTTACAGCTACAGTTACTAAATAAAACAATTATAAATATATTTGTTAGGGCTGGTGAGTCCCAACTTTTTCCAATGTACATCAAGATGACAAAAACAGACATTAGGCTATCTGACTGGATGTGCTCACAACACTCAATAACATAATGACTGACACTCACACTAACACATTAATTCGATTTTATGGTGTTTTCACACAAAAATTTTTAAGTTTTATGTTGTCTTCACACCCAGTTTTTTAGATTTTATAGTGTCTTCACACATAATTTTTTAGGCCATTATGGTGTTTGTATATGTACCTTTAGAAGAACCAATTATCAGATTTTAAAAGTTTTAAAGCTGTATAAATATTTACTAATAGATAAATAATAAACCTCATTTAACGAATTAATAGTTAATGACAGACTAGTCCTTACATCTGATGATCATATAAATTATAATCATATTAGTTATATAATACTATTTATATTATCTATTAATTATTATTATAAAATATAATCATATTAATTATTTAGAACCTACAAATCATACTTCATTTTGATGGCAAACACATCCAGTAAAAATATGTTTTATTTAAAAAGATTTAGACACATTGTTTTTAAACATAGTAAAGATAAACATAGTAATTCCTAGTTCCTGTGATGTACAACTTAAAGATTAAACATAGTAAGGATAAACATAGTAATCACTAGTTCCTGTGATGTAGAACTTAAAGATTAAACATAGTAAGGATAAGTTTATTGCAGAAGCAGAAGTTCCTGTGATGTAAAACTTAAAAAATTAAACATAGTAAGGATAAGTTTATTGCAGAAGCAGAAGTTCCTGTGATATACAACTTAAAGATTAAACATAGTAAGGATAAGTTTATTGCAGAAGCAAAAGTTCCTGTGATGTACAACTTAAAGATTAAACATAGTAAGGATAAGTTTATTGCAATAGGAATAGCAGAAGCTCCTGTGATGCACAACCTAAAGATTAAACAAAAAATTCAATAAAGATTGATGGTTATATAAAATCAGTTCAACCACTAACAATGTTAGTGGTTGTGTATTACACTGGGAATAAATAATGAAGTGTCTAACTGTCTAGAAAGTTCTTGGAGAGGGTTACCAACAAAATACAACTTCTCAGGTGTCAGCGCCTGAGAGTTTGTATTTTGTGGATCTGGATAGAATGTCTTTAAATACAGAGTATTTAAAGTTCCAGATGTTAATTTATAGTTCCAGATGTTAAGATCAGGATCATCATGAACCCCCTGCTTTTGGTAACATGTAATTTAATACAAGTGGTCAAATGTCATATAGAACTTTCTTTTTTTTCAGACAAAATCTGACTTAAAATACTCCCATGCCTTAGGTTTCTAAATTGAGTTTTTGAAACTCAATTTAGAGTCAATAAAATAATCAATTTAGAGTCAATAAAATAATCAATTTAGAGTCAATAAAATGAAATAATCATCTTGGGCAAATGTAAACTGCATTTGGCAGTTTACATCTTGTAAAAGACTTTCCAGAGTGAACAAAAAATACTTGTTGACCAGGTATTCTGAATTGTGGTAGCTCTCCAATAGGCTGATTCAATCAATAACTGTATTGTATGTTGTGCATGGATGGTATTAATGTAAGAGCTTTTGGTGAGCATTGTAAACGCCATATAGTTAGTCCTTTCAAGTTGATTAGTAGGAGGAAAGCTATTGCTCATTGATTAGAAAACCAAGTCTATTTTTAAGTCAAGTTTTTTTTTTTCTATAAAACCATGATTATAGTACAAAAAATTATTAAACATAAAAACTTTTTTTCCATAAAAACTTAATTCTGGCAAAAATTACCAGACCTACTTTTTGTAAAACTACAATAAATGCTGTATCTTAGCGCTGATAGGGATTATTCTCTAAACTATAGATTTCGATATTCGCATGCTTAGCCTAGGTTGCACTTATACCCATTCACATAACATCATTTTCAATACTACTACTTAAAGATAACTTGATTTATCTAATGTTTTAGTTCTAATTCAATTATGAGTTCTAATGATATCTTCTGGGTTAATGTAGGCATGGAAGCTTTTATTCCTACTTGTCAGTTACAAGTCAAAATTAACTCTATCCCATGATTTTCTCCTTCTTGTGTAGTTATCATTTATAATCTTAATAATTTTGTTCTTCTTTTTATTAGTGCAACTCTCTGAGAACAAAAGTTTTATGATTGTAAGAAGTTGTGTAAAAAGATATTGTCTGATGCTTTACACCATCTTGTTTTTATCTCAGTAATTAGGTTTGAGAAACTTTTGGAATATTTTCAGTAGTATCATTAACAAAGAAATAAAAATCAATGTATAGAATACAGTTTTCATGTTTTCCTGTCTCATGCAAATTATCAATTTTAAGTACTTCTTAATACACTTCTTTAACTTCTAAAAAAATTTCTTAAAGTGACTTGAATAGCGACTGCTTGAGGTTTTGTTTTTAATAAATTGTTAAAAAAAAAATTGTTTGTGAACATTTGAAGAATTATGAGCTATGTTAGTTTGAATGTTACAGCTGTAACATAGATATGTTAATATTTATCAGAAAAATATATAACCCTTCAAATAAATTAGAAAATCACAGCACATACAAATTAACTCTAACAAGAAAAAATTTGTTACCATCACGAAACATTGCAACACCAATCATAAGACCATTTGGAAAACCAGTATCTAAAATAACTTGAGGAAGTTTCATATCAAAACCAAAAGCTTCGATGCATGCTGCAAATGTTAATTTATTGATACTTGCATAAATATAAAAATCTTTAGGATTTAACAGATTTATTCCTCCAGAAGCCTTAACAACAATTTCTTTCCCTTTCTTCCCAATGTTTACTTGACCAGTTAATCCTAGTATTTTAAAACACAAACATTAAAAAAAATTTAGGATTTCAGATTAAATATGTGTTAAATAACTTACATCAACAATGTGAATACTTTTGGATAACTTAAAACAAAACACCTAACTTAATAGGATTAAATAGTGGTGGTTGAACATTTTTGTATAACTTCAAAGAAACTTCTAACTCAGTAGGATTAAATAGTAGTGGTTGAATATTTTTGTATAACTTAAAACAAAATACCTAACTCAATAGGATTAAATAGTAGTGGTTAAATACTTTTTTTATAGCTTAAAACAAAATACCTAACTCAGTAGGATTAAATAGTGGTGGTTGAAGAGCAACAGCTAATTCAGTATTACCAATTGATAAAAAGGAAAACGGTGTCCACATTCCAATCATTGTTGAAGTAAATTTAATACCACCAGATCCTGTGAATCCAATTCCAACTACAAAAATATATATTTATACAATTATACCATGTGCATGGTACTTAGCATATGATCAAAAAAGAATGATACTGTGCTTAACGCGTCTCTACATTAATAAAACCTTATTAAACCCAAACCCCTTGAGTTTAGAGTTAAACAAGGGTTTTAAAAAAATATTATTACTATTATTGTTATTATTATTATTAATATTATTACTATTATTATTATTATTATTATTATTATTATTATTATTATTATTATTATTATTATTATTATTGCTATTATTATTATTATTATTATTATTATCATCATCATTAAAAATATTAATATTATGTAAAATAACTTTATACATAAATTATTACTTCAATATTTAAATAAAAACAATAAAAAAGTTTTAGAAGTGTAATACATCTAATTAACAGTATTTATAAATTACAACATTTATAACCATTCAATATAAACATAAATATAAAATAATAACACAGTTTATTATCCTATAAAAAAAAAAAAAATTAAAACTTAATTAAAAAGTGATACCATCAAACACTAATGTTTCTGGGACATCCAAAGTTAATTTTGCTTTTAACATAAACTCAGTATTTAATCCAAGAGATAAGTCAAAATAAGCAGAATTTAAAGTTATTGATTTGTCATTGTTTTTAAATAGTTCTAAAGAACCTCCATTGTAACCAGCTTTTAATTTAAAACCATTATCATTAAAACCAGCAGTAACAAACAGCTTTGCTCCAGGATTCATTCTTTTCTTTGAAAATTCACAAAGTTGGTTCTGTTTGCAATCTTCTGGAATCTTTAGCTCTCCACAAAAGTATACTCCTAAATAAAATGAATAATTTTTAAATCAGAAAACAAACCAGCACTTACTAATAGTTAGAAATTAAGAAGCTAAAAAAAATATTATTTTCATATGAATTTGAATTTGATATTACATATATATATATATATATATATATATATATATATATATATATATATATATATATATATATATATATATATATATTGTCTGATGAAGTATTGTATTAAAATAATACAAAACTCTTGTTTGTTGAAAAGTGCTTAATATTTAGGAAATTAATTTTGATTATATATAAATTTCAAAACAGAGCGGTTTACAATTAAAAACGAAAAAGAAAAAACTTTTATTATGGAACTTTAGTTTTCATGCCTAACGGCAATCATTAGCCATATATTACAAAATTAAAAATGAAAATGTTAAAATTACAATTAGAATTTCAGTGACATGAATTAATTTTGAAAGTATAACGTAATGTAAACACGATGTAAACCAACCAGGATCAATCTTCGGTATCAAATGAGGAGTTAACGAACTCATTTTTGTGCCTACACTTCGAGATTATTTCACTCCTTGTATTAAGTAGGTTATCTTCTTTATACATCAAAATTTGAAATTTTTTGTTCAATCATAGGTTGCAAACTCTTGAAGCTGGGTTGTATGGTTTGCATTGCTTAATAATCTTCCATCTGACAAAAGGTGTTCTTTTAATAACTCTGTGTCATTCTTATATCTAATTGCATTAAAAAAATTTAAGTGGTTGCATACTGAATCCAAAAAACACTTTTTCTTTATATTCCGCATTGTTTGAATAGATGGTGACCTGATAAACTTGATAATGTTGTTGGAAAGGCAATGGTTGTTCATTGGACATTTGGATTTGTCATTAACTTTTGCCTCCTTATGTAAAATGCTTTTATTGCGAGAGTTGATGATGTTTTAATGTTTGGCATGATTTTATACTTGGATGGTATGCAAGTTTGCAATTACAATTTTGATGATTTTATACTTGGATGGTATGCAAGTTTGCAATTGTACCCTGATTTTTTCAAGGCTTCTCGAAAAGGAGGTATACTTTCTTTAAAAATCCATTCACTTGACGATGCTGCTGATAATATTAATTCAATAATTTTAGGAATACTTTCTATTACACTCGGTGAATGATTAGAACTAATATGTATATAATTTAGTATATTATCTGGTTTGCAGTATGGCTGAAAAGAACCATCATTAAGGTTTAGTGTTAAATCGAGATTATTTATAATTGTTATTTTTAAAAATTTGTACAAAATGTTTCTTTATCCTCTCCATTTCCTGACCACTTTTGTTCCTAAACATAGCTAATCCATCATCTCAATATATACCAAAATCGCTTTTATCATAAAACTGGGAGATAAGATACAAAATAAAAATCCTAACTAATTTGCAAATCTCCACGCCATCAAAGGTCCCCATAGTGACATCCAATACTCCTCCGTTTTCAATCCAAGCAGTTCCACTGCTAAATAATAATTATTTTCTTGCATGGTGTATTATGTATACTCTTTTGTTCACTATTTACTGTTAGATGTTGCTCTGCAAAAGTTATTGCATTTTTTAGTAGGTTTTCATTAATTGATGGATAAAAGTTATTAATATCAAAGACTAAGAACTTACAGAATTGTTTTTCTTTTATGGTTTGAAACCAATTTATAACATTTTGAGTGTCTTGCCAATGTATAACATTTTGAGTGTTTTGCCATCAAAAATAGCTTCTTTCTCAGCTTGGAATCAATGTTGCATAAAATAGATTTTGAAATTCTTCCAATCTCATTTTTAACAGGATTAATAAGTCTAACAGTTAGTTTATCTTGGAAGTTCTCTTTATGGCCTTTTATAGTTATGAAATAATCTGCAGTACTGTTAATTTCAATTTTATTGTATATATCATGGTTAATTAAGATTTTTTTACCTTGTTTTTTTATTTGATCTTTAAGTTTAGGGTCAGCCTTTTTATACGTAGAAGTAATTGCATTATTAAGATGGTTGTATTGATCTTTGGATAGTTTGTACTAAGTTTATATATATATATATATATATATATATATATATATATATATATATATATATATATATATATATATATATATATATATATATATATATATATATATATAAATGTAATCTTTGAATGTCATTTTCTTGTTATACGTTAAAATATGGTTAGAATTCAATAATTACGGCTGCGTATAAACTTTATTTTAATATATATATATTTTTTTCTTTAATATATAATTATTTCAATATTTCGCTGATCTATTATGATCAGCGTCATCAGGTATAATAAATAAAATAGTTACAAAAAAATTGTTATAGTAAAAAGAAAGTTTATATGCAGCCGTATTTATTGAACTCTAACCATATATATATATATATATATATATATATATATATATATATATATATATATATATATATATATATATATATATATATATATATATATATATATATATATATATATATATATATATATATATATATATATATATATATATATATATATATATATATATATATATATATACATATATATATATATATATATATATATATATATATATATATATATATATATATATATATATATATATATATATATATATATATATATATATATATATATACATATATATATATATACATATATATATATATATATATATATATATATATATATATATATATATATATATATATATATATATATATATATATATATATATATATATATATATATGTATATATATATATATATATATATTATGGGATCCCCTAAATGTGTTCTATGTAATGAATTAATACTACATTTAAAAAATTTTTGAATAAAAAAAACTTTTAGGGGTCGCACAAGACCCTTAAACATCAGACGGGTCCCTAATATTCTGAAAAAAAAGTTTTTTAAAAGCATATCATGTTAGGTCTCAAAAAAACTAAAATTTTATAAAAATTTCAAAAATAATAAAAAAATTATTAAACAAAAATAACTATTGTAAACAAAATAACCTGCAGTAAAATTTTTAAAATGTAAACATGAAAGAAAAAAGGTGGAAGGCCAAGGCCAAAACAATAAAGGCCAAGGCCAAAAATTTTAAAGTCAATATGCCAATAGTTTCAAGACTAAGGCCAAGGTCTTTATTTTTGTCCTTAAGGCAAGGCCAATATATATATATACACACACACACATATATATATATTTATAACTTTTCTGGAATCACACGGAAATAGCCTGCTGCCAGGGGTTTCAGTATATACATCGAATATCTTATAGCCTGCTGCTGAAAGGGAGTGCTGCTACATAAATGTATAAACTAATGTAACAAAAATAGGGTAACAATTTGTTACAAAAATATACTATAACAGATACCACTTAAATATACTATAACAGATACCACTTAAGTTACGTTAAAACAAGGCAAAAAATTGTTTCATCTTTTGGGTCAGATTTTTGCAAATTGGTAACTCAGATTGTATTAGAAACTTTTACAATATGTTGAGAATTTTATACTAATTAAAAAATCATATAAAAATTCATCAAAGGGGACTATCTAAGGGTAATAAACATGTTTTTTTACCTTAAAAAAATCACATTAATCAGGGCTTTCAGTATGCCTTACAATTTAAGCTTGAATTACACTTGATTTAAGAAACACCTTAAGTCAATTGTGGTGTTTCTCTATGGAACAGCTAACACAGTGCAATTTGGAATAATAAATCAGCGCGAATAGCAGTTGTAATGATTGTTACACAACCAATTTCCTTTCGGATAATCGTTTGTAATATTTGTTTTGGATAATCAATAACAATTGCAGCACAAGCAATTCCCTTTAGACAATCAGTTGTAAAAATATCAAAACAATTTCCTTGGAGATTAATTCAGTACAAAGAATTCTTACATAAATGGAATAAAAGCCGCAGCCCTAAGTTTAATATAGTTAAATTTTACATTGAATTATACATTATACATTGAATCAAGTTGATTTACTTGATTAGAGGTTATCTTTGTATTGATGTGTTGTACTTTACTAGTTTACAGTGACTGATTTATGAGTTTTTCAGACTTTAATTGATTAGCCTATATGCTAAAAAAAAAAAAAATGAAAATAGTATTAGTAAAAAAGTCTACAAAAGTGAAATAATGAAGAAAACTTTGACAGAAGCCCCTACACAAACTACGCTGAGAAGAATATACCTAAAAAAAAACCTAGAGAAGATTGCAAGTAAGTAAAAATATAACTTTTTTGGATGTATTTATTGGTCATAAGTAACTTTTATGTAGGCGCCAATATTCATTTAGACCTACTTGTTTTGTTAATGCATTTTAAGTAACGCAATGATAATTTGAAGACTGTATTAAAGTGTAATACTTATATAATGTATTAATGTGTAATACTTATATAATATAATATTTCTTAGAGTATGCATAACTAAACTATTTCCTTAAACTTTTTTAAGGTGAAGAAGAAAGTGTTTTGAAGTCATTGGAGAACATGATTGTCTAAGGGTATTTAATGTTTTAAGGACTAAAGACAACAGTCTTAAGTCTTCAAAACATTGTTATCATTCATTAGTCATCATTCATTAGTCTCAAAACTAAAAATGGACAAGATTGCCATCTGCAGTCACTGATGTGTACTGCCGAGGTTAAACAAAGGAGAAGGCATAAGCTTTTTAACGAGTCTTCAAAGCCAGAACGCAGAGTAACATATTTTAATGAAATATCAACACCATCTGGAAAACACAAGATATGCAAATTGACTTTTATGAACATTCATTCTGAGACAAGTGACAGATTAAAAAGGCTGGGTAACCTTTTGAGGACATAAGAACTCCCTCATGATGAATATAGACAAAGTTATTCAGGAAATGCAAAACCTGAATGGTCATTAACATGGTGAATAAGCACATATCTTCTTCTCCAACAAAAGTAACTCACTATAGTAATACTGAAAAACATTTTCTCAATGAAAAACTTTCTGTA